CTATTGAGAATCATTTTATCTGAACCGTCTTTTAGCTGAAGCATATCAAGGCCCTTGTAAAAGCAGTATGACCAACGGCTATCGGGATTGAATTTGACATCAAAACCTTTACGTGCTCTTCTGCAAGTTATTGCTGCAACACCCTGGTAACGCTGAGCCGAAATCCTTCTCTTGTTCCTCACGGCACACAACTGAACAACGGTACCATACGATATCGATATGCCATACTCCTTTTGTAGATGCTCTTGCATCCTTTTGTAAGTTACTTTAGGCCCTGTAGAATTCTTATTACTCGCGAAAGTAAAAACTCCAGTTCTTCGCCACTGGTCTGCACCAACCCGGTGTTTCTGAACAAAGTCTTCCATTTTTTTTCCTATATCAGGGTACTTTGTCACAATGGTAGACACTTTCTTTGGAATCTTGCGTTTAAGAAGGGCTTCTTTAGCTATAAGCTTTGAAGTTTCCCTTTTAGCAGCCATCTTGATTTTTTTTCTTTCTTGTTGCACTTTTTCTTTTGCTTCATCAGAACAAATATCATTGATTTCACACCAGTCTCCATCATCAGATTCACTGTCAGTCTCAAATATGGCGTTGCCTAGAGATTGTTTCCGCTGAATCTCTAAATATGCCTGTCTACTAATTTCGATCAATTGCTCTTCTGCTGTTGAAAGATCACTATAGGGGATGAAATCAGCAAAGTCAACAAGTATTTGATTTAAAACTTCAGGGTTATCTGTTGGTAACATGTTTTTTAGCTCAGCCACAAATGTAAACCAGTTAAGATTGTTTTCTCTTAGTATTAACAACAGTGTTTCTCTTGAAGGTGCTGGATTTACAGTTGGATTTTTCAGTATGTCCGTGTCATCTGGATCAAACATACCCCTGTCTGATGTTCCTTTTTCCTTTGATACTGCATTTTCTTGTGCAACCTTAACAAAAGAACTCCCATGGTCTGAGCTGTCTGTATCATGTTGTCCTTTATTGGAATGCAGCTGATCACTTAATGGAAACTCTTCTTCATCTTCTGTTGCATCTTCTGACGAAATCCATTGAACATCTTGAACTTCGCCAAGGTCAGTACTTTCATCCTCTGAATCACTGGATTCGTAGTCAAAGCCAATGGTGCGCAAAAGTGCCTTTTCCTTGACTCGTGCAAGCTCTGCCACTGTTTGTTTGATTTCACTTGCCCTTCTAAGGGTCTCTTCGATTTTCCTTTTTTTTTTTCGCCGAGATTTTGAACTCCATATCGCTTCCGAGCTTCTTTAGCGCTAAGCTCAGAACAAGCAGTCATTTTTAGTAGCAGACGATCTGTTTCAGTGGTTGCTAGTTCACATAAGGCGTTTATTTTTTTGTCTAGATGGAAGCTTTTCTCTGACATTTGCTTTCTTCGAATGCAAGAACTGTCTCATTATGACCACAAATCTTTGTGCATCAACTCCAGGTTGGAATTCTGTAGCATACAGTCTTTTTTGATCCTGGGCCTTCAGGTGCAATTTCCATGACAATAAGTGGCAGCTGCATTAGCAGCCTTACCGCCTTTGAACTTATATACTTGACCTTTGGAAAGTGTTTGATAAAAATGCCTTCAGTTCAACAATTCCATTATTTATGACATCGTGGGCAAACGAAATCAGTCCCTCGCACTGTGAACAAACTTGTAATTCTGAACAATGTTTCCTAGAGCAAAATTCTCTCCTTGCAACAGCAACTTCTTCAAGTGTCATATCATTAATTAACGCAACATATAAACCATCGTCAACTTTGTATTTAGACACATCCGATAAACAAGAAGAAAGATGTGACACATATCGTGTATAAATGTCACTCCTAGGAGCGTCTTTATCTACAAAAATGAGCCTTGCTCCCACTATCAGCACTCCTTGTGCCATTATTGTTGTCTCCTTGTGACTCATTTTCTGGTGTATCATTCTCTCCAGGTTTATCTCCAGAATGCTTGGCGACTTCATCAGAAACCCTTGACGACTGTGTTTCCTCCTGATTAGTACAGGTAGCTTTAGTTGAATTTCCTCTGGTTGTACCTGCTTCCTTACTCAATGGTTCTGCTGGTGTAACTGACTTTCCCCAGAAAGATGTCAATGTCTTAGTTGAACTACTCGAAGACGATGACCCGTCAGAAGACGAGGAACTGGTTGACTGCTTATCTTTGTACCATTTGGCTTTTGCCTGTTTTTTCTGGATAAGCAACACCTCTTCTTCATGCTTTCTTTTTTCTTTTCGCAGCTTGGTGATCTCCTCTTCTACCGCAGAGGCTCGCATGTACTGTTTAAGTTGCTCATCTCTTGCTCTCTGTTGTTGCAAAAGTCGTATTCTATCCGCGAGGCTAGCTATATCATCTGTGAGTTCTTCAACCTTCTTAGTACGTAAGTGCTCAGACATTTTCACTTTCTTGCTACTGCTACCATGCTCCATTGATCCTGTTCCAAACAATTTTGATCTTGATCTTTTCTTGCTGTAATTGTAGCCGTCATTATCAAGTTTTTTACGACAAAGTTCTATAAGGTTCTGTTTGTCATCTAACAGAGTGGGATTTTCAATGCACAATTCAAAGGCATTCGCATTCATTCGTTGATGGTATGTTCTTGAGCTTTTGGCATACAGCACACTTCTCTTCCTGATATCTTCAACATTCAACTCGACGGTCACTTTGTTAGAGTCTGCTAAAGAAGGCTCATTCTAGAGAACAATAATGGAAGCCAAGTAACATAAATATATTGTCTGTGGTCTTATTCACACTAGAAAGATTTTGTTTATAATTATTTCTTTCAGATTTCAGTTTCATGGGTGACTGGATGTCACTGCATTTTAAAGAGCAACTTAACCCTTTAACACCTGTTTACGTCAGCTGACGTAAAAAGTTCATAAAATTGTTAATATTTGGTCTATTTCAATGAAATTTTGCCACAAAAATGGTCTTGGAAAGATCAGTTCATTTCAGAATAAAATTGTACCCTCTAGTATCTATGACATGGTTGACCACCCCTGGACTTTTTGACAATTTTTTGTTTTACACATTTGCAGTGTGAGACATAACTCATGTTACTCTATTAACTGAGAGCTGCAAAATAAGCTATAGTTTGGGGTATACCTAGTATGTCTGAAAATTGAGGCATTTCTGAACTTTTTGACTTTGACATTTTCAGCCCGTTTATGTCAAAGCCATGATTTACTTCTCCAATTTTGATATGAAATAAGGACTGCACTGGTCAAGACCTTTCAAATGGTATATCATACATTGCCATTTAGGTTTTATTTACGAGTTTGGAAAAAGGGGAAAAAACTCAGGAGTGAAAGGGTTAAACTGAATTTCATTAATAAAATTTAATTTTAAAAGCACAAACCAACAATATTCTAGCAATTTGAAAATAAAAATAGTCAACTAATAGGTTCTCACAAAAAGCTGGGAGAATAGGTTGTTACAGCACACATGTCAATGTAGCAACAACTACTAAATGCAGTCAAAAATCTACGACCCAGACTAGAACTGAAAATAAGGTCCAGATAATTGAAGTGTCATGTATGAATACTAATTTAAAGTGCCACTACGATGAAAATTTTTGTATTTCTTTTTCGCTTTTTTTTTTAGTGCAAATGTATTTAATAGGTTTAGACAAATGCGAATTGCTATAAATTAGATTGATATATTCTTACACAGCCCAGAAATAGCTGACTGAAAACCCACGAAAATCACGTAAAATCCGTCCGCCATTACTCCGTTCATAAATCCGAGCCCACGTTCTACTGGTTTGCGATCTGGTACACTTGACTTGATTTGTGACGTAAATGACTCAACACGTCATGATTATTATTCCCTCCGGGACACAGACAACAAAGCCAAACGGCACGTGTTGAGTGACGTGTTGAGTCTTTGACGTCACAAAATCTTTAGGAAAACTCGATCCAACTCTCAGGGTTCGGTCCCGGTCATTTTTAATTGAGTAATGGCGGCAAGCCGAATTCGAAATGTAAAGTTAAAATAATGGCACTTCCCGTACGAGTTTTGACTTGAAACTTTGCAAGGTAAGAAACAAGTACTTATATTTTCAAAATATGAAAAGAACAGAAAATGTATATTTTTGATCATAGTACCACTTTAACAAATTAGAACAAAATTCTAAAATTCTAATATGTTATACATTTTAATATTTTAATTTCTGGCTAAAAACTCAATTTCCAGTTCAGGAAATGTTTTGTTTCTGCAAATGGTACCAGATGAGTGTATACATTCTTTGTACTTCTAGTGGTCCTCTGGGCCCCACCCTGCTTCTTGAAATTTCCATTACCACCCACGGAGGAGATATGAATATTTTTGTTGGAAAACCAAATTTTAATTGCATAGTTCCTACCTCTAAAGCAGGCCCAATTGAAACTGCTCCATCTTTCATCAATAAGGTTGTCTGTTTTGAACCACTACCAGAACAGTTCCCTGAGGGTGAAAAATAATTATTATATATTGTATTTAGGATGCAAGGCTGTTGCCTAGCAGGTTTCCGGTAGTCTGGGACACCCAAGGTACTGTTTTTGGTGCCCAGTAAATGTTTTTCCTAACATTTAACTTTTCTCAGGCTGGGCTCATAACTTCTCAGTTTTTGGCCTTGTGGGCTCCTTTAAATTTTTCTAAGGCAGAAGCCTTGAAATTTATTCACAAAATTCACAATATGAACACTATAATTGGAGTATCAAAAGATTCAACTTCATTTTTCTTATTTAAAATTAAAGTAAATATTCAAGACATACTGTCAGAAGAACAGCTTCTTTAGTAGACAAGTATTAAAATATTTGGTCATTGTAATATATATTCTTAGTCAATTATAGTACTTCATTTATAAGGTATCTGCACCTTAAAGTAAATGTGATGCACAATTTGCTATCACATGTGAAATATAGACCACATTTTTTCAGATTTTTGTTTTATCCTACTATTATTTGGCAAGAATAATAATCAAACAAATGACAAGTTTGTTTACCTTTAACACTTCCCTTCTCATTTCTTGTTGTGTGCAGGGAATCTTTGGGCTGTGCAAAAAAAAAAAGCAAAAACAATTAGGGTTTGCAAACAGATCAGTTCCAAAAACTTTTTCAAAAACTAAAGTATTATAAACATAAATCAGTGCAGACATACCTGATCGACGGATGTAGGTTGTGAAACATTTGGAGGTGGCTTCGACTGCAAAACATGCACTTGGATTTTATCCTTGTGTTCAATGTTTTGAACGGTAACATCGACCCACTCCCCCCAGTCTTCTTCATACTTTTGGAAAATTATCCGTGCTTCACTGTCCAGGCTAAAACACTCTTTAACTTTTACAGCAACATCTTCATTTTGATGAAGGTCAAGAACCTTACGGCTTTCTTCGTATTGAAATAAAACCTGTAGGAAATCAAAGAAGAGAACAGCTCATGACCTGACCTTTCCGCATCATTACCCATGCATACCATTTGAATTTCAATGGAAATTAAATGTAAATAATACATCCAAACAATAGAAAACAAATTACTTGATTCAGATTGAATATCAATTGCAGTGGATGGTAAAGTAAAAGCATGATATGCGTGGATTCAAACCACTGTTACGTACCTTTCTTTCGCCTTCCGCCATCTTGGAAGTTCCATGTGAAGTACTAGTGCCCAGTTCCACTCTTGCCCGAGGTGGGGACGGGAACCGCGGTCGAAAACAGTCAAATGCACCACCCCCAGGGGACAGCTTGTTGTTCAAAAGTGATTCGATGCCCCTATTTTCCCCACCCTTCCCCGGGACCTGGGGGGTGGGGGTTTCAATTGACTGGTGCATAATCATAGGTGATGACATAATTAAACAAGTTAGCTCGGTTAAATCTCTGGGTGTGCTTATAGACGAAAACCTTTCATGGAATATGCACATTGAAAAAATAGCCAAGAAAATCGCATCGGGCATTGGAGCAATTAAACGTTGTAGGCCTTTTGTTAATCGAACCACGCTGGAGTCCGTTTTCAATGCCTTAGTTCAACCGTACTTTAATTACTGCAGCGAGGTCTGGGGACATTGTAACAAAAGTCTTTCGAATAAGCTCCAAAAGTTGCAAAACCGGGCTGCCCGTATTCTAACCTTCTCCAGTTATGACACAAGCGCTGATCTTCTTCTTGAGCAACTCAACTGGAAACGGTTGGATACTCAGCGACAAATACAAGTGGCCACCATGGTCTATAAATCTATACATGGTCTTGCGCCCGACTATCTTGGTTCTCTTTTCACTAAATATAATCCACCTTATAATTTAAGGAACTCTGAAAACAAACTAGCTGTTCCATTGCCCCGCACCAATTTCTTGAAAAATAGCTTTAGCTATAACGATGCGGTTATCTGGAACAGCTTGTCCCCTGAATTGCGGCAAGCAAAATCACTCAAATCTTTTCGCAATGGTTGTCGCGATTTCTTCGACTGAATCAATAAAACGCACACGGCATCTATGTAAAGCAGAATTTCTTTATTTTCTCTATTTTTACTATTTAAATTTTTGGATCATGTTTATATAGATTAAAGTAGATTGTAATTTTTATTATTATTATTTTATCTGATAGATTTACCGTGTTTAAATAAAAATAAAGTTCAAAGTTCAAGTTTTGCCTTATTAACGCAGTTTATTGATCGAAGAATCTTTCATTAGCTTATCGTCGAAAGTCAAATTAGTAATTATTAATTCCAAGAGTTTTTTCCTACCCCGCTGAGCTTTGTGTGTGAAGTGAATAGAAGGGAAAGCCAGTTGACTGGCAATTGCAACAAGATGCTCTCACTATACGTTGCATACTGCGCTCTATAACTGAGCAGTACTGCAGAACATTTCGAACGGTTTTGAAAAAAAAATGTATTTTAAGAGTCTACCTTAAAATTTAAATTACTATTTGGTTTCTGATTAGAGTCCAACCCAGTATTCTACGTGCATAGCTGGACAAAGGCATTAAAATAAGCGCGTAAATCTTGTTACGTTTCTTTTTACAGTTTGCCACATCACAAACAGACAATCAACAGCCTGTTTTGTTGATTTTGTGGCAAGAATGTCGTGATTTATTTTTAAAACTATAACGGAAAGATAATGTTGCACTGCATGGTTCTGATCAAAAGCGTAACAATGCGTGTGTGTGTGTGTGTTTCAAGTTTTGAACGCGTTAGGAATCAGGCGCCAGCCTGAATCAACAGCATATCGAGTAGGGTTTATATTCCTCAGGGGCACCCAACGTCAATTTTCGGAAAATATCTGTTCGAAAGAAGACTTGAGATCTAGATTTTTCGGAACATTTGTTGTTTAATTTCTTGCTTGCCTGCCCCTGCTAAGATTTAAGATCGAACATCGAAAAAACAGTATAATCGCCCTTTCTAACGGATTTTTACACTAAAAAGGTCACCTAAAAATTTTCGGGAGCCTTTTTTCTGGCTCAAATTTTCGAAAAGGTAAGTTTTGATCCCTATAACTTTCGGATCACTAGACCTTCAGCTAGGAATTAAAATCCGAACAGATGAAAAATTTTTAGGGGATAAAATATGCCTATACCTACCTTTTAAATGCTAAAATACGTTTAACGATGCTATGTTTAAGTGGTTTTGAACTATATTCTCGTTGGGTGCCCCTGACTCCTGTTAGTCGGGTTTATTAAAAGAAACGCCTGGGGCGCTAACAGCTAAGCTAATACAACCGAGATTTGTGGAGAGTAAATGAATTAAAATTCTCGTATCAAGCAAGATCCATTTATATCGTCAAGCAAATTTATCTCTAGATACTGTCTAGCCCTATAAGGAAAATTGAATAGGGAAGAATTCACCACAGGTTATTTAGCAATTAATAAATGAGGCTGAGTAGGATATGAAGAATTATGCAGATCGAGGTGGGTGTTCAATATTTTGAATGAATAATAATGGAGTTTAATAGTTGATTTTACCCAGAAATAAAAATTAGTGAAGACTAAACAGTAATTAGGTTGTTAGAATTCTGCGATAAGAAACTCTTTTTCGGTCTTTTATACATATTGCGCGGGAAAGTTGGTGTGACCGCCTGATTCGAACAAGACGCAGTTTTCCATCGCTGAGCACCGGCCTGTCAAGATTTATTATTCAATAATTGAGTTCAGTTTTTAGTGAGTACGTTTTACTTGTTCGTTGAAGCAAAGGTAGATGAATAGGGAAAATCGTTCTGGTCGACTGAATAAAATCTGCCGAAGAGGAGTGAGGCTGAAAAATTATCATATCTTGAAGGACCATGCAGGAACATCATATTTCCTTAAATCCTATTCAGTATACTCAGTATATACGAGGTAACTCTCCTTCAACATGTAGTTATAAAATTACCTACTCATATTTTTCCGGTATCGGTTTCACGCTAGCTCATCAACACACCTCCACAAAATTAACTTTTGATTCGCATCATTCTTTGGCGTTGAACCCATTCTTGAATGGATCAACACTTGAGTTCGCACACATTCCAGTTATTTTGCGATTTCTTAATTCACCACAGGAAATAGATTCAATTTAAAAAACCTTTACTTAAGCAAAATATTTGCCTTGAGGATATAGTATTATTTCTTACCTCAAAAAAAAATCGTTTTTCCTTCAAGTGCTCCTCCGTGATTTTGAACCCAAAAGTAGCAGCCGTAAGGCTGAAAAGAAAAAGCAGCAGAGAGACCTTCATTTTACGTTTTCTTTCGTGAGCGAACAACGACATAAGACGCAGTCTCTCGACACAGGACAAAGAAAAACGCTGAACCTTTCCGACATTTAGACCCAGCAGTGTAAATGTTGACATTCAACAGCTAATGAGAAAAACGAAAATTAATATAATTATCAGGTAAATCATGCATACAGCATGATATCATGTCATTTATATGGGACTGAAAATATATGAGTAAGACAAATGTCAAGAATTTAAAATCATGCAATTAAGGGATGGATGAAATATTGACTATACCATGGGTGAAAAAAACCTGTTTTTTTTTTTTCTCTTAAGGCCAATAAGGTCAAACTTACCCAACTGGTCAGGTGAACTGCAGTTTTGAGTTTAATTAAGGAACTGAAGGTGGCAGATTCAACTCCAAAATTACCTTCTGAAAGGAAAACTTACTTACTGCAAACAGTAGAGGCTAAAATCTCTTCCCTCTAATTACGGCAGTTTTTAAAACATTAGTACCTGAGGAACTGATTTCATGAAGAATGTTTTACTCTTTTCTGTTTTTATTTTCGACGGAATCTGGCACTGACCATGATTACTCGAACGGATTTTTTTTTTAGTTTTTAATTTCCTTAATAAACTAGAAAAAACTTTATTAAGAAACTTAAAAGATGTCGGTCACCACAGCTGTGTTAGGATTACGATGAAAATTTGTACTAGATCAGAATCAAATGAATATCATTGAGCACCGGAGTTGTTATAACTATGTGGAATGAACGTACGAGGCACTGATGACCTGAGCTCTATCACATAAGAAGCAAGGAATGAAACTAAAACGGTAAAAAGGCAAATAGAAATTATCAATGCAAAAATTACAAGTGCAAAGGTTAAAAAACTGCAGCGGGCTGTGTAACGTTAAGAAACTATTCTAAGAAACCCTGAAAAAAGGGAATTGCGCTAAGCACAAACCAAAACGGAATTGAACAACTTAAAATCGTAGAAATAGTAAGCCCATGGGCGTTTAATTATGCAAAAAGACTAACGGAACGACTAACGGAAGAGACGCTAATGAGGGGGCAAAAATGTCGACATAAAAAATAAACTCCTGCTTCTCATGGACAACTGTTCACACTACCAATAAAGAAGAGTGACCCAAAAACCTTTCCGCTAAGAAGCTAACCACTTTCAAGATCTTCGCAGCGCAGCTTCGCTTCCTTACAGAAACTGCTCCGACATCATCGTTCTTTTGTGTGAAAAATATGGTTTTTGATGCCGGCGCGATCCGGCAATGTATCCAGTATAACAAGGACACTAGCAGCATTGTCATAAACTTCGTGCTTTAATACTGTTCGAGTCTCCTTATTATTCATGGCTTGTCTCTAAAAGCCCGGTTTGACACGACAATCGTCTTGGACTCGGCACCCTTAAAATTCGGCTTGAACAACATGAAATAACAATAAATGCAAAATTAAATAAACAGAAATGTTAGCTATTAATGTTCACGCAAATATGAAACTTGGGGACAATGTTTACCAAAACACTGAGTAAAGAATTTTTTAAAAATTTTTTTTTATTCATTTATTTCAAATAGAAATCTTGCTCTAATCCACATACGCAGCCTAGTACACTTCTTCAATCCAAATCTCCAGAGCCTGCAGGCTGTTCAGTTGGGATTGGCCGGCAGCGATTCCAGGCTAAGGTTGTGGTTCCCCATCGCCACTTCTTTACTGTCTGGCAGGACAGACCGTCTTTGCAGAAGCACCTTGTAAAACCCTGAAAATCGTAATAGCGAGTTTATTTTGAAAAAGGAAAAGTTCCTCGCATTTCCACTTTCATATCTTTATCCGCAGTCTAAAATATGAGTCATTTCATATATTTCCATTCAGCGAGTTTATTGTTAACCATTTACGGTGGCCTTGAGAAGCGATATAAACTTTGGCCTGAGAAAAGCTACACGTGTTTTTTATCTGTCATTGTGATATGGACATCTGGGTCAGACCTTCATCTTCAAAAAAAGAGCGTTTCTTTTTTACTGTTGATTAATACCAGGCAATTTTGATGGTGCTTTTATATAAAGCAATTAAACGTCTTCGTAGAACGCCGCAGTTAAGTCATGAGTTTCCACAGATCCTGAATATTTGCTTGTTCAAGTTATTTCATGAACAAGTATAGATTTCTTCAGTTCCTAAAAGACGTGGGCAAGAGGTCGAAGGGGAAGATCCATAGCAGCTTAGGACTCCCTATCTACGCTTTTACAATTTTCATACCACAAAGTTGCACGAGTCATCTATCCCTGGTTTTGACGCACAGAATCCAAAATAGTTAGGATTGAGACAACAGCGGCCCTCTCCACAATCTGAATCCTTAGTACATTTCTGAAAAGGAAACTGACAACTGCATTCGGGTTTTTAGCAATCATCATTATTTCCGATAGGTAATTAATAAACAGAATAAAAATAAACCATATATTATAGGCACGGAACCTTGTGCTAATAAGCTACTGGGAGCGCCTAGCTAACTCCTAAAGAAGCGGAATTTCCGTTGAATTACTACCTGTAATTATAGCAAGTAACTCTCTTAAAACAGTGCGATAATGACATTGTCACATCTTCGAGAAAGTAACCGATTGGTCCTACCATAGAATGTCATAAATTGATAACCGCTATTCATTCTCTTCCAGGAGTGATCAGTAACCTTTATTTCACTTATTCTTCCATTAGTTTAACACCTTTTTTGGAGACACTTAGGCCGCTAATCAGGGCAGGATAGGACAGTGAATTATTCGGGGGGAATATGGCTGTAGGGAGATTTGACAAGAAAAGAAAGTTAAAAAGGGTCTTCTTCTCTTTAAAACATTTTACGAGTATAGGTTGTGTCGAATTTTTTTTCGCAATACTCTCCTAAAGAAACCTTCCCATCGAAGTTTGCAAAACAGTCGCGGTCATCGATGAATAGATTAAAGCTTCTCCGTTTAAAGAAATTTAGCGAATTAATGCTTAAGAGTAAGAACAAAAACTGCGTTATTATGGAGAATATCTCTGTTAAAGAGATGAAAGAATAAAGAGATTTTTCATAAGCTATTCAAATTTATGTTCAGCAGGACAATTTGATTCAGTTGAAGGACAATCTTGCATACAAGAATTTTCGTTGAGGAGATTTTTTCTCGATTTCTTAAAAAATAAGGCCGTAACGTATTGCATTTGAAGCCAAGGAATGACCAAGCTTGGCTTGAACAAAAGGATCTTTACACTATACCGTAAAATTCCGAAAATAAGCCCCCGGGCTTATATTTTTCAAAGGCCCTTTTTGAGGGGCTTATTTTTGGAGGGGCTTATATTCGGAGGGGCTTATCTGCGGAGGGAAATTTACGTTTCAAAATCGATTGGACTAGCCTTATAGTTGGAAGTAGATTTAGCGTTTTTGCTTTGTTTTACTTTGTATTTGAGGGCAATTTTCCAAGTACAAGCCCCTGGGGGCTTATATTTGGAGGGGCGATTTAACGGAGGGTTTTTTGCGTTACCGGTTTGGGGGGCTTATATTTGGAGGGGCTTATACATGGAGGGGCTTATTTTCGGAATTTTACGGTATTTTTCTAACATGTTATATTTCAGGCACAATTTTTCAAGCTAATGTTGTTCCAATGTTTGAGATGAATATTTGATTTTTAATCTCTAAAAAGGTTACCTGTGGCCAAAACCATCTCTTCTCTCGCAGGCTTTGTTCATCTGGCAGTCTATGGGTAAATGTGACGACCGATAGGCCAAGCAGAAAAAACGAGGCAAACAGCTTCATTTTTGCCGTCAGAGCGGAACTATTCTTGTGTTAGTGTCTCACGTTTATGCTTATTAAAGCGTGATTACCCAAAAATTTCCATGTTCATCGCTGTTGACATGCTTGGAACAAAGTTAAACATTTCAGCTCTGGCTTTGTTGAGGCGTATCATGATCGCGTTTGCAAACAACTCTCTTAACAATGAAAATAATAGCTGACAGTGAAAGTGTGATATTTCAGCTTTATTATTTTTATCTGTTTATTATAAACAAGAGCAGATTTTCTTTTATTCAAAACTAAGCTAAGTTGGAAATGATGCAAAATAATGTTACATCAATGACGACTACTTTGAGACAACGCTTTAATTTTGCTTTTTGTCATTTTCACGTCTTCATACTAGAACCCACGCACTGAAATGATAAAAATACAAAAACCAAAACCTTTCTAGCTGTTTCAACACTTTCGTATCATTTCTGTTGTACTTTATAAATCCAGTTTACTTTTTAAAGTTAATGATTTAATACAAAGTAGTACAATAACTGCAACAGGGACCAAAATACTCCTGATTTATAATTGAGTTCCATTATAATTTGCTATGAAAAACTGCGGCCTCAGGAAACACCTTTGTCCTTTACTTCAGTTTCGTTTACTTAAATCAATCTGAAATGTAACTAATTGGTTAGGCCCTCTCTTTGGTTTAAGAAAATGACAAAAACTACAGAGACAAAAGAAGGTTCAAAAGGACAATATGCTTGCTGAAAGAATCCAAGAAGGAAGCTAAGCGTCAGTGAAGCGTATTTTTAATTCAGCTGGCAACTGTTTCAATATGTATTGTTCTGACTATTTCTTTTCAAGAGAAAACTTATTCTGCATTTTCAATGATAACGCATTATGTAGAAAAAACAACAACAACAACAGGAAAAAACACTTAACTCAGTGCTTTGTTTATATGAAGTACATGCACAGTAAGGTCTACATTAACTGGACACACATGGATTGCGGGCATGTCAGCTGGATAGAGGAGAAAAAAGAGCAAAGGTTCGCTCCATGTACGTCTGACTAGTACAGGATATCCGCTTAATTTTGGCTCTTCTTAATATAAGTTATATTTCATTTCATTGTTATGAATATTGTCATTCAGTCAAACTAAGCGGCACCCCAGCAGCAAACATCCCAAGTGACCTAGGGATAGTATAATGTCCCTTCACGACATCACGACAGACTGAGTCCCTTCTCAAGTGAGGGCAATGTGCAGATCTCAGTTTGGTCTTAAAACCTGCAGGGAACGTGTGACGGTGATATACGAGGGGAGAGGGGGGTGGTTGGGGGTTCTTCACTCTAGCACTACCAATGCATTCTTAGCCTTACCTACCCCGGCATTATTCAGAAGTTCAAACAATTCAAGAATTTTGTGCTATTTGGATCTCATTCATTCTTGATATTCCCCTGGTATATAATTATCTATTCCGTCGTCGTGTGTCAGCTTCCTTAAGAGTAGCCTCAGCCACAAGTTGCCACAAGTTGCTTGGCAACTTTTTGGCCCTTTTGCTATTTGGAGCACCTTTCTGGCACCTTTTGACATTTGGAGCAACGTTTGATTTTCAGAGCAACTCGATTAAATTTATTTAGCAACTTATAGGATTTACAAAGCCTCTAATACTGCTTGAGACTAGAAAGAAAATTTCAGTGTTTGATGTTATATCATAACATTTAACAACGGGGAAATTCAATTGGAAGCGCCAGCTACACCACCTTTTTAGTGGACTACCCGCTGTTTGAGGTCAATTCGGAAATAGAACCAAGTTTTTCAAAATGGCGACTAACACCTGACTTCTCCACCTTGAATAAAAACGATCCAATCAGAACAGGAGAATGCACGTCCGCAATGAAACCCAAAGAAAAAAAAACTCGGTCTGAGAACTAACCGGGTTTGATTCGCGGGCCGTCACGTCTATAAAGGTATCTGCTGAAGCTCAATATTGTGAGGACTTGTTAAAGAGACCGAAAAAAAAAAGGTATGTAATTTTGATAAAAAGAATTGACACTGTCAACTATTTTTCAAATAAGTTTTTATTTTCGGCTGGTGCCGCTTTAATAGTCAGTGGATCATATATCTCCAGAGCCTGGTTCCTCTGTAGGAATTGGACGACAGCGATGATAGACGTTAAGGGATCCTATCTGATAGACAGGCTGACATGACAAACCGGATTTGCAGCCGCATTTATGAAGACCCTACACATAAAAATATATATGAGTCAGTGATGACCAATCCCTGTTATAAGAAGCAAGGAGCAAGGACGAAAATAATAACTACAACAAACTAATCTCAAATTTCAGCGTCGATAACGGGATTGACAAAACGGCGAGAGGAACCGACGAGCCAGGGCATTGGTTCCCTTCTGAAATCACTTCTTTGACCAAAACAAAGTTTACTTATCAGTAATAAACAGATGTAAAACGGTATCCCTTAATTCCTCTATGCCCTCAGTTGTGTTTAATAAACCAATTGTGTACTTGGTGTCCATGAAGCACGTCCTTCAATATTCATTTTATAGCGCTTTATCAAAAAGGTGGGAAACAACGTAGCCCAGCCTGCCGCCGTCATATGTGGGTTCAGTTTACGTGAGTTTGATGTTGGTTCTCTCCTTTGCTCCGAGACGTTTTTTCTTCGGGTACTCCGGTTTCCCCCTCTCCTCAAAAACCAACATTTCCAAATTCAGTTTGGTCTGGGATGGTGTAGACGAAGAACCACTTTGTGGGTTTGCTACCTCTAAATCGTCATTTCTCTGTTTTATTTATTTAATTGATAACGCAAAAGCTGGAACATACACCTGTCATTCATAGAAAATACCAATTATAGGTATTCTCTTTAAATAACTTATCAATTTCCTGCCCGATAACATAATTTTCACTTACAACAAAGTTACAAGATTGGTCCAGGCCTCTCTTGTCATGACAAGTCTCAAACACACTGCAGCAGCGCTCCGCACCACAATCCGAATCCACCTGACATTGCTGTAATATAGTAAAATAAAATGGATTCATTCTTTTCGCTTATCCTAAACTTACAAAAAATTCAATTTTTTTTGCTGTTACTATAAAATATTAAGCGTACGGTAATCACAAAAAAATACCATTTTATATTACAGTGGAACCCCGCCTTACGACCACCCCGTTTTCACGACTACCTCGTTATTACGTCCATATTCTTTCAACCCACTGAGCCATTTTATTATTTTGAAGACCTCGTTCAAGCGACCACAGGATGTTATGGCCCTATAGTGGCCGCATTAACGGGGTTCCGCTGCAGTTTGATACTTACTCCAAATAAAAATCGCTTTTCTCTGTTGCGATTATCAGCGATCTTGTTGGCAAATGTGGCAGATATGAGTCCAAAGAATAATAGAAGGCTCAATTTCTTCATCATTGTTCTCCAGATTAAGCTCGTATTTTACGACGAGATAAGAAATAAATTGGTTTGGAATCAGTGATCATGTTATATATTTAGCAGAAAATTGTGTAACCTATAAATTGAATTATTCAGCTGTAAAGGTGTTGACTCAGTAACAAAAGCAAAATAAGGTCCGCTTTTGTAAGCAACTCAGCAAAAATGTCCTTTTCCATGGAAACTAGTCCTTACATTGGATTAAACCAAAGGTGTATTTGCTTCGAGTATTCAAGTTTTTTACATACATATTGATCACTGGAAGAACATTTATATGAGGCGGTGGACAGCAGAAAGCTGACAAACAAAGCGAGCTTTCTTTCTTACTTATAGACAATAAAAAAGTGAAACCCTCTGAACTTTTTTCCAGAGCACCGCTGATGTATGAGAATTTTTAGGGATATAGATGACTTGAAGAATAAACTGGATACAGGTCCTGTACATTAAATTCAGTGGTGCTTAAAGATGAAAATGCTATCCGACAGCAACTGAGCTTACTTTAGGCAACGAGGTGTAAATCAGCTGACATTTGTTTCAATATTTTTTGTCTCATTTCTTTTCACGTCGCAAATCTAATTTACTCTCAGAAGAACACCTGATTGAAACGTCACAAACCTCTTTTTAATCAAAATACGTTTTGGTCAACATTGAACAAAGGTATTCAGTTTGCGCAAAATAATAAGTAAAGATCCATTGTACCTCAGTATTAGGTTTAAGGGCTAGTATCCGATTCTCAGTTTAAACATTTCACGAATTTTTTCAGTTGCCTTTTTGTCGCTTATTTCTTATTCCAGTTGCTCTTACTGAAAGTTCCTTCCGCGGTGAAGGCCAGTTCTTGGAGATCCAGCCGCCAGGCAAGGACAGCTTATTGGGCGGACGGGCTGTTCATGGGAGTAATCATTAGAGAAAACGCTTACTCGAAGAGCATAATTCTCGAGGTTTTAAACTCATCTTGTTAGCTTTATCCGGCTATTAAAGTATTTAATCAAATAGCAAGTCTCGAAAAGCTGTTCTTCCGTCTAAAAGGGTAGCGAATACCTTATGAAAACAGACATTGTTTTTTCAAGATTTGATATATTAGATGCGTGTCTTTTTTTTCTTCTTAATATTTATAGACGACGATTTTAATTGCACTCATTTAATGATAAAATTTTCGCCCATTTCTTCTTGCGTCATCTTCATGATCGTCATCACAGAGTGCATTCGGGAATACAAATTTTCTTCACATGTCAATTACATGATGAACCAGGCAAACAAAAATTAACGCAATAATCAAACAATACTTTCCTGAATTCTCGACAAATTTTTTCTTCTAGTATAGGAGAACGACTTTTTGCAAAGAGGAAGGACAGAATGGTAAGTAGAAATAGACGTTAAATCAACAAGAACCACATATTAATGCGCCTGACTGCTGGCGACAGTATGATGATGGTAAAGGTTCGGCGCTTTTTTCGTTTCCAATTAAAAAGGTTATGGTCTTTGATAAGAGATTATTCATTTATTTAGAGTTAGTTCTTATCGCCACCGTGAACACAAGCGATGGAGGGAACAAAAGTATGGAACCTAGTTCCTTTTATCTGAAGAAAAATTCGCGAATCTCCATTCATCAACCCTAAACCTGCATGGGGACACT